AACATCAGTATGGAACGTCTGTCGCCATTCAGCAGCAAGTTCACAGGCATGAGCAACAGCCTCTACATCATCGCCATTGACATGAAAAATAGGAGCACTCAGAGCTTTTGCAACGTCAGTACATACTGGGAAGATCTTCCAGATTTCGGGTCAGTAGTGAAAGCCACTTGATTGTTCACAACGATGTGAATGGTCCCACCAGTAGTGTAATTTGGGAGAGCACTGAGATGCAAGGTCTCGTAAACAACACCTTGACCGGCAAACTACCATCACCATGAATCAAAATACCCATGTTTTTCGTCCTTTCGGTGTCATTAGAATAATATTGCTTAGCTCTAGTTTTCCCAACCACAACTGGGTCCACTGCTTCCAAGTGGCTAGGGTTTGCAACTAACGACAAGTGAATTCTCTTACCAACCCTCGTTGGCCGCTAGTAAGAAGTTCCCAGATGATATTTGACATCACCAGTTCCAGTGTAAAGACCAACCTCATCCACAGGTTTTGTACCACCACTAAACTCGCTAAATATCTGCCTTAAAGGTTTCCGGACAACATTAGCAAGAACATTTAGCCTACCTCTGTGAGACACTCCAATGACTATGCTCTCAACCCCAAGATCTGCTGCTCTGTCGAACATCTCCTTCGTACCAGGAATCAATGTCTCACAACCTTCAAGCCCAAACCTTTTGCTGCAGTCCACTTGGCCGCCAAGAAGTTCTCAAATTGGGTGCTCCAAATAAGCCTGTAAAGGATCACCTCACGCCTCTCTCGATTGTATTGAGTTGGAGTAGGAGTCTCAATTTTGTCCCTTAGCCAGTTACACTTTTCGTGATCGGCAATATGCATGTACTCGTAGCCAATATTTCCACAATAAGCTTGTTCCAGCCTCGTCAATATCGCCCGCAAGGTTTGTACGGGACGGTTCTGAGACAGGAACCCAGCCATTCTCCAAACGCCGACAAAGAACTCCCTGTCGAGATCAGCTTCCGAAAACCCATGAAGAGCCGGATCCAGATCATCAGGAACAGAACTCTTCTCCAAACCTAAAGGATCTAGTGTGGCCTTCATGTGACCATAAACCTGGTAAGCTCTCACGAGCAACAAAAGACGCATGCTCTCTTGAATCGTTTGACCAGAGATCCCAGGAGAAGTGGTGGCCTGGCCAACAAAGTTTCTGAAAAAATTGTCCCATGATTCATCCACACTATAGGGATCCTGCTCCCAGGCTCTCTGCAGCTCCTCAAGATACACACTGCTCGTGCCATCTAAAAAGCTATCAGTCAGCCGGGAGAGCGGAACAGGACGTGGAACGGGTGCCGATTGAGCCTTTGACCGGAAAACAGTCGTGTGAAAGTATCTACTCTGTGCAGAAGGCACTCGGGTTCGCCCGACATAAGATCTACTTTGCGATAAAGCTCGTCTAACAGCAAGCTTTGACAAATTAGACCCAGCTCTAAACCACGTCATTTCTATTTTACCTAATCAAGAAAGTAAAACTGCAGCTGAAAGAACCACGCTTTTACGACCAAATCAAGCCCTTTGAACTGCTGCTATTCCATCCAGAAAACACCCTAATCAAACAAAAAGGAGACTGATTTAAAGCATTTGAAAATCAAATCTGAGAAACAAATTAATTTCGTTGAACTACAAGAAATGTCATCATCATCAGCACACGTAGGATATAGAGCATCACTGACTGCACAAGCATACAAGAGTAGTGATAATCTTCACACAAACATTATTTTTTCTTTTTTTCCATAATTCCCAACTCCAAAGACAAAGAATCGCAAAAAATACACCCAGCCATGTGAAAAAAAATCAAAAAAAAGGTGCAGAAAAACGAAGATCAAACACAAGATCAAGAGCTCAACAGCATAAAATACGAACAATTCATACATTAGATTCGTCAAGATCAAACACTCGTGATCATATGAACGAGTAGAAAAAAAGGGGCGACGAACTTACATTCATGTTGAAAATGTACGCTGCGAATGCGAATGTTGTAGAAGTGTAGAGATTTGAGGCTAATTTTATTCGTTATGTGAATTAGGTACTTGTCTCCAAACTCGGGGGTTGCCCTTTTCTCAAGACAAACATTGGGCGCTTTAAGGGCTTAGCCCATTAGTTTATGATAATATATTCTCGGTTGGGCCAATGATACCCTTAGATGACCATATTTGTTGGCCAATTTACACGCTTGCTAAATAAATATGAAAATATTGCACATCCTCCTTTATATAATTTCAAAACGTGCCGAACTTAAATGATTGGCTCGCACGTTTTAGAATCTTACTTGGAAACATTTCATGCTTCGACTTTTTGCTCAGATAAAATTTAGTTTAATTATATTACCAAAGAAATAGGCTCGGACATACTATAATTATATGTGGTGTCTACACTACAATTTATGATAATTGATTATGTTTAAATACCATAATTACATACCATGTTTATGTTTAAATACCATATTTTCTTAATCTTACAAATTATTTAAGACAAATTTTCTAGTGCCAAAATTTCATTACACACCAAACGCCATGTATGTGGCGTTTTATCAATTAATTATGGAATGAAGGAACCTAAATATTGACTACTATAAATACATGTGTTAGACCATAGGTTTTTTTATTTAATTATTTCAAATTAAATACACGGGTATTGGATTAATTAAATATTGATTACTATAAATATATATGTTATACCATATGTAATCAAATTGTCTAAATATACGAGTATTGTATTATAATTTTTAAATTTAAATATAAATTTTTGAAAATACCCGTGTAATACACTGGTATTATACTAATTTGCGATTAAGTAAAAAGATTAGCATTAACATAAAATTAGATGAAATAATTATTTGAATGCGAAAAATAGTTTACCAAAGAAAAAAAAGGATGCAATATCCATTTTTTTAACTTTTCTTGTGAAAAAAGAACAACAATTTTCAAAAGTTAATAACTATTTTGTTGTTATCAATTTTTTATACATAATATATAGAATTAATATGTACAATTGTATCAAAAATTGCTAATTAAAAATTATACCCGTATATCTATAAATATGTTTAGAATATCTCGGAGTAAGAGTAAATTTCTCTATATTTTATTCTCTATTTTTTTTCTTTATAATAATATTTACTGTCCATACAACACCACATCAATTGTTTGTATTAGATCATACGCAAAATATCCTCCAAAATTTGATTTTTTTTGTTCCAAATATTATGACTAAAAAATTTGAATATTTTTCAATCTCTCGATCATTTTTTTTAAAAAAAAAATAATATTTATAGTTTTTCTATAAACTTTGTGATTCATATTATTATTTATTAAAGTATATAAATTATATAATTTTTCTCGCTAAATAAAATAATGAT